TATACAAAAAAAAATATATATGTATTATATTTATAACAATTATTAAAATTACTTATCTTCTATTCGCTCATATTCGATCGTGATAAATTTTAGATCGTTTAGCTCTATCCGAAAAGCAATCTGAAATTGAGAGCGAACGATGGCTTCGAAGATGCGATTCTATTTCGAATAATGTAACAGGACGGGCGGGCGACTGGACAGAGCGATTTAACGGCGACGTATTCTAAAGTTGGCGAAGCAATCGTACGCTGTTGTACCGAACAATGCACAAGTAATCCAACTAATTGCGTTGACTATGCGTTCATAACGATGACGTGACACGACACGTATACTACGTGGACTTCGCGTACAACGACGAGAGTAGAAATGAAAAGAGATCTCCTCCACTCTCCATCCCCCTTTAGGAGATATTATCTATTCGCTTGTCATAGGCTTCCAATGCGTGTCACACACAGCTCAATCGTTAATGAAACGAACGGAAGTCGATTTTTTTATTACTGTTTTTTATATTTGTTGCGATATTTGCGACATCACTTAAGCCTGTTCTACAATAGAGTTGTAAGTTGTAAGTCGTAAGAAATTGGCCAATCACAGTTGAATATGATAATAATAATCGATTATGATTGATTACTTTCTTATGGCTTATGACTTTGTGACCCTGTAGGCTTTAAAGAAATCTACCCTTTCTTCGTGCCATACGAGGTTTCGTCGCGGGAATTCGAGCCGATTAAGCAATTTACACGATAGACAGGCCGTTTCTAATTGGAATTACAAATTACCATGTGACATACACATGACATATACAATACACACACACACACACATACACACACACACACTAAATTCTTTGGAGTAAAATTTCACTCTAAAGATTAAAAATTGAGCTAGTCTTGGAAAAGAATAATTCAATTTTCAATCTTTAAGAGTTAGATTTTACTCTTCGGAATAACAATTAGCTCTAAAAGTCTTAGTCAAAAATATTAGATATTTTATTAATCATTATTTAAAGTTTTAGCTCAAAATTTGATTTATGGCATTTAATGGCTGAAAATTATTCTTTGTTTCAAAAACTCTTTAAATTTATGTACAACGCCAGTAATCAACAGATAACAATACAGGTAAAAGAATTGCAGATAAATAAAAACTAGGAGTCTAATATTTTTGGCCAATACATACATAATACAGACGACACGTCATATTGACTAATTACACGTTTGTTGGACGTACTCAACGAATCATTTAGTGACAAGTAGACTGACAGGCGGAAGATAGCCGGAAGGATAGATAGGAGCAAAAAGAAGCAAGCAGAATTTATTAGAGAATTGAAACGAGGGGGAGAGGAGTCGGAGGATACGTGAATAAACAAACCGCACCAAGGAGAGACCAAATTATATCGCTTAATGAGATATAATTACCTATTTGCTTTGTATTTATTTAATCGTTAATTAATTATTGTATTTATTGGCGCGGAGGCTGACACGCATATGCATAATTTTCGGGAGACACGTTAATCACATGAAAACACGCACACATACAAATGTACTCGGCCGAGTCACCATCACCCAGATTATCCGAAGAAATTATTAGAAATTGTTTAATTGTTATAAAGAAGCTTTGATGTTTATTCTTGTTGAGTAAAGTGAGAGACTCAAGTACAGAACTGAAGGGATAGACTCGCATGTGAAGCATCAGACCAAAAGAATCTCTCTTCTATTTTCTTTCTATTTTCTGTCGTTCTTTTTATATAATAGAGATCGATCAGCAGAAAGTTAAAATGTCACGCGAAAGCAATGCGTGATTTACAATAAAATCTAACGATTTATGCTAAAAATTTAATATCATGGGACTGAAACAAATTCACATTTTTCTATAAAATTATATTGGACGTAAATGTTAAAAACTTGTCATTATTGATCATTAAAGTGTAGAAAAGCGTAAGAGAGTTTGATTTATTTTGACGCCACTGCGATCGAACTTTACTATGCCCAAATTTGGGATCATATAAAAAATATATTGTGTTAATTATGTAAATAATGAAAAATCTATCACATTTTATGCGAATCTTTTTAACTATTTTAATGATATTGTGAACAATGATTAACATTTTCGGCCGTGCGCATTGTTCATCATAGCAATACAACTTCCTCGTTAATTGCGAATTATTTATTTCGTCGTTGGTATACACATACACAAACAACATTTTCGACATTGTAGCGGAGGGAAGGAAGTACAAAATTTACACATAGCGAACGCACGAAGTGACTTGTAATACTCCTTCGACGAATGTATCTTGTAAACGTTCCAGATGCCTCACCTTGTACACCAAGTAATCAATATAAACGCAGAACTTTAATAGTTACACTATTCCATCCCCTTTTATTACTCACGTTGCCAAAAAGAAATTCCGTGCGAATTGTCATAAAAAAAAAGAGAAAGGACGATCGCGTGTCGAGATGAGTCGTTCCTCGTCAACGTACTCTTCTTTTTTTTCAATTTTTTTTCGAGAAATCTCATCAATTTATTTTCAGTCGATCGTAATGCGAGTCGAGGACTATTCCTTGATTCCATTTTAATTTTATTCCGTATGCATCTGATCAGCTAATATTTTTCGTCACTTTGCATGCATTTCATTTTTCTTTTCGCTCCGCGAAAACGTGTTGCGACAAACGCTTATTTTCTTAACGAATCAGCGCAGCCTTTGACTCTTACACCATATGAAGAGAGGAAGACAAAATAATAATAAAACGTATCATGTGAGACAACGGCGACAGGGGAGATAAAACGTGGGAAGAGAAAGACCCGTGACAATATATACATATACATATATATATCTATATATTTGCGAGATATTTTGTGAAACAGGGCTTTTTTACCTATTTTATAGTAATCTCAGCTTAAACGGATTGAGAGAGTGGGAGCGAAAGAACGAGAGAGAGAGAGAGAGAGAGAGAGAGAGAGAGAGAGAAAGCCTTTATTAAAAATAATAAATTAAAATGATATGACGAGGATGTTGTCATGAAATGACGTATTAAGCAGTTGATGAGCGGTCTGTAAATGCGTACATACATAGCATAAATGCCGTCTAATGGGGACGGTTTTACTATAACGTGTACCCTATATTTTTGTTTATGTTTTACGCCTTAGATTTAGCATTATTACTATTATATTCTAATTATTATTAATTATTTTGATTATTCTATATTATGTTTAAGATTCTTATTAATTATTATTATTATCATTGTGTATATGGTATAAATTGTAAAAAGGAACATATTTACTATATCATATTCATTTTACGGGGTTACTCCCCCGAATGAACAAATTGTTTAAACTAAAATGAAGGAATAAATAAAATATTGACCAAATTAAGGGTGGAGTTCTTTTCTGCTGACCTCTCTCTTATTCATTCCTCCATTACATTATTTACAAGTATATAAGATATATACCCACATCGGTAAATTATATGAGACCTTTCGAATCTATGTTTCTTTTAAGATTCGCAGATCATACATAGGTATTTATATTTTAACAACAACTACTATGTTATAATTTTTTTTA